GGGGATGCTTCCGATGGGAATAGCCAGCAAGTTATGGAGAGACGCGAAACGTTCAACATCCCATCGTGTGCGCGAGTACGAAAGCCCAGTACAAACAGAAGCGCGTCTTGCGGTCATTCTTTGTCGTAATTACCGAGAAGATAAGAGAACGAGAAGAGGGTGAAGTTGTGGAGGCTAAGGGTGAAGGAGAAGGGGGGGAGGGGGAGGGAAAGGAGAAAGGGAAGGGGGGAATCAGAAGGGAGTCAGTCATGGCGGAAGGTAGCGGAGCTTATAAGTGGCACGAGTGGGAAGCGGTCTTTCCCGAGAATAATGCGCGCGGACCCCGGGGAGTTGGCTTTCAGGAAAATGCTGATTGCTTCCCCGGCTCTCACGCTCCTTTTCCCTTCGTACCAATTCTCCATCCGCCTATCCCTCTCCCCCCTCCCCGCGCCTTTCCTTCCCGCCCCCCCCTCCCTCCCCAGCCCCCTCCCCGCGCTATCAATCTTCGACTTCGTCAGTGGCGGAGATGTATAACCCGCCCTTTGCGTATATGCGTGCGTGCGTGCGTATAAGGTCCCCGTAGCTTCTTCTGCCTCTTCGGCCCTTAAGGCATGACCCCTTATCTCGCGGCACCAACCGCCTCGTGGCTCCCCTCCTCGTACGGGGGGGGGTCTTCGTAAAAATCGGTCGCAGAGACACGCTCATCGGTCTTATTATTTGATAATTCTTTTCACTTTGAACAAAAGAAAGAGAGAGAGAGAGAGAGAGAGAGAGAGAGAGAGAGAGATACGATTGAGAGATGCGGCCGTGGACAAGAAAGCGAATCGGGAAAGTTCTCTCTCGTTTGAATCACACTTAAGTTAAATCAGAGGGACGAGAGATGTGTCCGATGGTGAGGTATAATGCATCAGAATTGCGTTTCGCTTCGCTTTGCAGCGAAATTCTTACGCGACTCTTCTTAATAAAAATAGGGTAAAGTACCGTGAACGCGCGCGCGAGACAGCGTTGAAAGTCGCAATAGCCTTTGATGCCTGCCTTTTCAGAGGGCGAGCGTGAAAATTAGGTGGACTAAAAGCGTGGGGTAACCGAGTTATTACGAATAAAAGAGAAGCGGGCATCGCGCGCGCGGAACGTGGGTCGGGGCCAGGACGGTGCAGGTACTATTAAAAGCCTGTAATTAATGCGGTTAATTGTATTGCGCTAAACGAACGTCGAGTCGATAGCGAGTTCCAACGACACGAAACGGAAGCGGGCGCTTTCTAGAAAACTTCGACAATTAAGACTGCTGTACTTGATACAATCGTGCGAATGTCACACGTTATCAAAGAAAAAAGAATCCGCGTTAAAAGAAATCGCGGACGACAAAAACAAAGATCTTTAAAAAAACTTTTATACATACATACATATATATATATATATATATATATATATATCTGCAACATTTAAATAATGTTTCATTTTTTTACTTTGCTTTGTTCAAAAGTAAAATTTAAAAAGTATTATTTCTCATGTTATTTTCTCTCATTTTCTCGCATAAAATATTTTATAAAATCGATCTACTTTACAACAAACTGTCACTGACTTTAATTTAGCACTCAATTTAGCACTCAATCTCTTTAAACGACAACTTTAATCTTTTAGAAATATTATATGTATTATTTTTTACGTTAAACCTTCATTTATCTTTGAAATTAACTTCGTATATGTATATACTCATAAGTATGTAACTTGATACAAATCTGGCACAAGCTAGTATTACTCGATGAAATTAAATTTATCTGTATCATCTTTTCTTCTTACATCTAAGAAGAAAATTCTCTTACTTTTCTCATTAAAAATTTCTGTACAGGAATAGAATAATAAATTATAATCCTTTTATATACATGTGATACCTTTTACATGTGGTAACTTCTTTCTTTCACCAATAAAAATTAATGTAATAAGGTAAATTTTTAATCTTAAATCAGAATCTAAATTGCTAATAATTACTTTTGTGCTATGCATAAAGATTAAACTAAATCTGTTGCACATTTTTAAAAACGTACAATTAAATGGATCATAGTGATTTATTTAGCGAGTAAGTAAAATTTAGATAGAAACTAATGAATAATAAATAGACTTTTTATTATTATTGTTCATGTGCGCAAAAAGACAAGATTGAATTCACATTTCAAAACTAACCTCGAAGATAAGTGGACAAGATAGGATTCGTCTAAATCGAAAGAAAATTGCGAAGGAGTAAATTGCAAATTTTGACCACTTTCTGCAATTGACAGTTTTCAGCGAAGACGATTTTATCTTCTGTTAAGGCAGATGCGTCTTTTCCGGGCATTCAGACTATTTCCGTCCCTTTCAAGATTTCTTTCAGTGAAAACGGCTCGTGCGATTTTGTTCCTCAGTACTGCTTATGATTTGGACATAAAGCATTAAAAAGAGTGACATTTTTTGGCGGTGTTGATAATCATAAATCTATATAAAATTATTTATCTGATCGCCTCTAATAAAATACATATGTGTTAATTTGTTTACTTATTAGCGTTTTATTAGTTCGAAAGAATGATGTTTTATTCAATGCAATTAATTTAGTAATAAATAACCATCCTCTAAACCGTTTAATATATAATTGCCAAATGTCTTAACTCTTCAGAAAAACATCATTTAGGTAATGTTACTTTAATGTTTACATTAATTGGTGTCTAATAGAATCCGCATAGAGTCGAACAGAATACGCGTCTTCTTTTCAAAACTGCACGAGGAAATCGACAAGTGTAGTCGATTTAACGAAAAGTTGATAGAAAAGTCTTCGAAGGTGAACGCGGTAAAGTGTCAACGCAATTCGGGCCTCGATTGTTCATCTTCGTGAAAGGACCGTTCCGTCGGGATTGATTGACTTCTCGTAATTTCTATTTACCCACTTTGATCCCTGGCAAGAATAGAGCGCGACGAAAACCACCGGCGATGCGAAATCGGCAGCGAAATTTTATTCACGTGAAATTTTTTTCAAATCTCTCGCTGTCTGTTTTGCCAATGTTGTAGAACATCAGAGGAAGGATAAAATTTGAGAATGGGAGGCACAGACTGGAGCGGTTGGTTGCAACGATGCCGACAGTCCCGGAGGCTCGTTCTCGTCATCGTCGCCATCGCACTGCTGCTGGATAACATGTTGCTGACGACCGTAGGTGAGTGCCTTTGTCCTATTAATGTTTCTATTTATTACGGCATTAATTGATTCCGATCTTCCATTTGTTAGCACAATTTTAACACGTTATTGATCATCATCACTTATTTAGTTATGTCAATTTTTTACACGTCGCACAGCCAGATATTTGTATTATTTACATTAATTATTTTTGCGGCATGTATCGACGAACTTTTATTAATTTCAAAACGTATTATCGAAAATTTAAATTCTCTGATCTCATTCTTTCTGGCAGCTTTCTTTTTCAAGCTTTAGAGTCGCTTCTTTGAGCATAACTTTAGTTCAGAATCATTAACTTCATTTTCTTTAATCATGATCTTTCATGTAATTCGTTAGAAAAAGACAATAACATTTGTACATTTCTTGTTTTTTTTTTCAATTTTAATATTTTAATTGCTTTACAAAGAAAAGACTTTGATATTCATAACAATATATTTAATCTATTTTTCATTCTCTTTTATTCTCTATTTAATTGATATTTAAATTAAATTAAATTTAAATCATTTTTATCTAGCTTTAAAAATTCGTTTCTGAAGAAATTAATTTATATTATTGCACGATTATTACTCAGCTTTTTTAATTTTTTAAACCTTTACTACTCTTTCCTCAAAATCTATCGGCGGCGACCACTCTTCTCGGTTCGCAAACTTATGTTTAATTCAAAAAACGTTCGTTTATCGCACTGGACCGGAATGTTGAAAGAACGTATGGACTTTTGTGTATCGCACCGCGCCAATCCGGATAAGTGGTCATGCATTTATGCAGCGTGATCGTCCCGTAACAAATACACGACCTACGAACGTCGTCACGCTTGTCGAACAAATCGTGAAATCCACTTTCAATTGTTGTAAAAAATTGTTCTTAATTAATTATATATCTACACGTATATATAATATATATATCTGTATATAAAATATATTGTAATTACAATTAGAAGTAATGTAATTTTTATTTACACTTTTGAATCCTTTTTTTGATACATTTATCTTTAAAAACCTTTGTTAAACAGGTTACAGATAAACTTTCGATACTTTTAAAATCATTAAAATTTACGCTAAGATAATAACTCCTGAGAAATTACTAGAAAGTAAATAAATAAAGAAAAAAAAAAGAGGCTTGGAGGTGCTGGGATTTGAACCCAGGACTTTCAGCATGCGAAGCAGACACTCTACCACTGAGTTACACCCCCGATTGATAACAAGCTCCTTCAACGTGCTCTAAAACGTAAATCTCCCCGTCTTTATTTTTTTAATGAATTTAATATTATGCAAGGAGACATTCGCATTTTTTTATTCATCGTTTAATTTTAAATAGTGCGATTGGATTATATAATCCTAAAGATGTATATATTACATGTGGATATTACTAGGTTATCGATTTTTCAATGCTCCCTCATTTCTCATTTTACATAAAATAATATTTTAAAAGCATATGCGCCATATGAATTCTTGCAGTTCCAATAATACCGGAATTTCTCTACGACATCAAACACCCTAACGCAACATTAAGCGAACATCTGGAAGGAAGCGCATCTCATCAAACTACGGTCGTCACCACCACATCATCGCCAATAGGAACGACAACGACAAAATGCACTTGTGCTCCAAACATATCGGTCGCATCCCCATTGGAATTTTTACATGTTACAACCCCTTCTATGAATCTATCGGGTAAATTGCTTTTAGAAAAATTTTTAGAAAAAAGAAGGAAACGCTAATAGAGACGAAAGAGGGAAGGACAAAGATCTTTCTATTCAAAATTTTTCGATACGCTCGATTTTTTTCATTTTAGAAATTACCGCAGCCAATCTTACGTTGCCGGAAGCGAAGGAAAAGGAGCAGAGACATCGGGAATTACTGGAAGAGACCGTAGCGGTAGGAATGATGTTCGCTTCCAAGGCTTTTGTCCAATTGTTGGCTAACCCCATAGTTGGGCCGTTGACCCACAAGTAAGCTTTGCACCTGCCCAAAATTCGTGCGACTATCTTTCATTTTCGGAATATATTAGACTGCTTTTTTTTTATGTAGTATCAATAAAACACGACATAACGAACAAGGAGAATATCGCACGTAAACGTAATTTATGTTCTACTTTTAAATCCACTGTTCGTATTTTTAGAATCGGATACAGCATACCTATGTTTACCGGATTCATTATCATGTTCCTGTCCACGCTGATTTTTGCTTTCGGACGAAGCTACGGTATACTTTTTCTGGCGCGAGCTCTTCAGGGTATCGGCTCATCGTGCTCTAGCGTTTCCGGTAAAAAGCTCATCTGTATTAATCCGTATTAATTAACATGATGTCCGCAAGTGGCAATCTTATTAAATAACACAGAAAGTTTCTCCACGCACGTCAAGGCCATTTCTGGCAATTCTACGCAAGCATCGGTGGTTCAGTGGTAGAATGCTCGCCTGCCACGCGGGCGACCCGGGTTCGATTCCCGGCCGATGCAAGAGATATATTTTGCTTTGATGCTCCTTGTTCTCGTAAAATTTTTTAAAAGAATCGTAGGAAGATTCCTAAATTTTTTTTAATGTTTTTTTTTATATCTGGTATTTAAAGTTTGTTGCATCAAAAATTACAAAGCAAATATCTGCTTAAAAAAATCGTTATCGTTGCGACGATAACGCGTGTAAAAATTAAATTACTTAAATAATTAACAAAATAAAATTTAACAAAAAGATTGCATCGGCCGGGAATCGAACCCGGGCCGCCCGCGTGGCAGGCGAGCATTCTACCACTGAACCACCGATGCTGATACGACGTGGATTCTCTTTCTCTGATGACGTAGCACGCGGTCGTAATACTACATTCATACTATATTCATATACTGTATCATACACACAATTTTCTGATAGGTATGGGTATGTTAGCGGAGAGATATCAGGATGACAAAGAACGCGGTAACGCGATGGGTATCGCGCTGGGCGGGCTGGCCCTTGGCGTCCTTATCGGCCCTCCATTCGGCGGAGTAATGTACGAATTTGTAGGAAAATCCGCCCCGTTTTTAATCCTTTCCGCGTTAGCCCTTGGCGATGGACGTGAGTACAAATAAGTTTGCAATAAGAAATATTTATCACGCGTAATTGATAAATTATGCCTAATTTAAATTTCAATTTACAATTTAGAAATATTTTCTGATATCGATTTATATATTTCTTTTTGTATTATATATATTTTTGTTCGCGTGATTTATCCCATATTAAATGACTTGTTGTCGCGTTCGAAAATAAAAATAATTTTTCTCCTAATTCAACACTCATGTTTTATAATAATCTTTTGAAAAATCCTCAAGTATTGCAGCTTTTGATGCTCCAACCGTCGGTCGTGTACACGGAAGCGGAACCACCGTCGTTGAAGTCCCTCATCACCGATCCCTACATCGTTTTAGCAGCTGGTGAAATATACTTGATCAAATCTAATATAATAACATTCGACAGATTTCCTCGCTTCGAACAATAAGTGTAAGAGTTGCCGGTGTTCCAGGCGCGATAACGTTCGCAAATATGGGCATCGCTATGCTGGAGCCGAGCCTACCTATCTGGATGATGGATACGATGGGCGCGAGCCGCTGGAAGCAGGGGGCCACGTTTTTACCGGCCAGCATCAGTTACCTGATCGGAACGAATCTTTTCGGGCCGCTCGGCCACAAAATGGGCAGGTCAGTCCCGGCCGGATATCCTCCCTCAAAAATTAAAATATCTTAACAATGACAGAAATCTCGGGCTATACGTCGCCCGGATAGCTCAGCCGGTAGAGCATCAGACTTTTAATCTGAGGGTCCAGGGTTCGAGTCCCTGTTCGGGCGAATATCTTTTTTGTAAAACGGTCCGACGGTCTTTATCGCGATACGCGCTTAATTGTTACAGATGGCTAGCGTCCCTGATAGGACTCGTCGTTATTGGTATCTGCTTGCTGTGCGTAAGTATGCCTATATGCCCCTACTATCGAGAGAGAGAGAGAGAGAGAGAGAAAGAGAGAGAGAGAGAGAGAGCGAAATATAGCTGTCATCTTAACATCACACTTGTGTCTACACTGCGCTCTAAATTTTCTGGAGCAACTTTTCATTCTTTTGGAGTGAATCTCACTCCAAAAGAGTGAAAATACTGCCGCTCAAGTAGCCGAGTGACAGTATTTTCAATCTTTTGGAGTGAGATTCACTCCAGAAAATTTAGAGAGTGTGACGTATGTCGCAATTTCGTATAACAATTTGATCAAAATTACACATAAATCGCAATACAATAATTATATTTATATGTACATCAAATTGGAAGTTGTTAGAGCCACATGTAATGAGTATAGCCGCGCTAATCGATCCACGATCTCGAGTGAAACTATACTCTCTAAATTTTTTGGAGTGAAATTTCACTCTAAAGAGTGAAAATACTGCCACTCAAGTGGCCGAGTGACAATATTTTCGCTTTTTTGGAGTGAGATTTCACTCTTTTGGAGTGAGATTCACTCTAGAAAATTTAGAGAGTACCTATATGACCTTATTTATTTCTAATAATTTGTCACGCAGATTCCGCTAGCGAGAAGTATCGATCACTTGATCGTACCGAACGCGGGGCTGGGATTCGCGATCGGGATGGTGGACAGCTCGATGATGCCCGAGCTGGGATATTTGGTTGACATAAGGCACACCGCTGTTTACGGAAGCGTTTACGCCATCGGCGACGTGGCATTCTGTCTTGGCTTTGCTATAGGTACGTGCACGTTAACTGGCTCCCGCGCGTATGTCTTTCACATTTTACTTTCCTTTACTCAACCAACGTACGCTAACAAAAACGTCTGACAAGTTGAGATAAAACGCCGTTTAAGGACCAACGTGAATTATGTCCCACGCAAAATTATGTTGTAAGATTCGAGCAGTATTTTTCTTCCTTTTCTCTTTTTTACATGTGTTAGAATAAATCGTCAGCTAAGACGGTATTTTACGTTAGAAAATATCGTCGTGTTATTGCGAAAGATGCAGATTATTTTTCTCAGAGATTGTAAAACATATGCACGTTTAATTTTTTTTTAATTTTAATATTGCTCTAACAAAGAAAAACATTTATTATAACTATATTTCTAATTTTTTTATTATTTTCTTTTCTATGATTCAAATATAACCAAAAATTCAATCGCTTTTCAAATTAACAATATTTAAAAATTGATCTCTGAACAAATCAATATAAAAATGTTGAAAATTTATAAAATATCTTTTATACACATATACGAATATTCAGTATAACAATTAAGATATTGAGTGCATCCTGTTCCAATATTAATATGTTACAAGAATTATACGTGTAGAATTCGCATTGAGAGTTCAAAATAGAATATCATCGGATTTTAAACGAAATTCTCATATGAAATCAAGCGCAAATTAAAGATCGTAAATATAAAAAAAATTGAAACAGTAAATCTGCAAAAATAAATCTGCATCGGCCGGGAATCGAACCCGGGCCGCCCGCGTGGCAGGCGAGCATTCTACCACTGAACCACCGATGCGTCTGGAGAATTCTACGATTCTATTTGATTAACAATCGCTAGAGTCGTTTAAAAACGTTGCATTAATGAATTAGTGGGATATAACTGTAAAATATAACGGGAGTTTTTTTTTTTCAATTAAACAACAAAATATCCCTTGTTTTCGTAGGTCCAGCGTTGAGCGGAACTCTGGTCAACACCATTGGCTTCGAATGGATGCTTTTCGGCATAGCTATGTTAAATTTCATTTACGCACCTCTCATGTACTTCCTAAGGGCGCCGCCCACCAAGGAAGAGAAAAAGGTAAAATTATACTCGATGTTTTTCGATTCAATTTTTGCCTTGAAGAATCTCTCGCTAATTCTTACTCGTGCCCAATTGCAGTCGTTAATAATTGGCGAAAAATCGTCCGTGCGTTATGTCACCTACCAGAATGAGGAAGAGGACCAGTAAAATAATAATTCTAAGGCATTCTCGATACGATTAGTAGGACGCATATTCTCTCTTTCCTTTTTTTTTCCTAACATAATTAAAAATATGTTATATAAAAATAGAGGTTTGTGTCAAGTAAAATTTTATGTTTTGTGTTACGTTAATTTCTATGTGTATTTTAATTTTCATAATAATCTTCATGTACTGAAAGACAATAACATATTGTTCTTCCTTTCTTTCACGTTTCCTATTTAGTATTATTATCGAAGTATTAGTGTTCTGTTCTCCTGTTTTTGATAAATGATAGAAAGCTATACACAAACAGCGACAATAAGCGCAACTGTTGACATGCACTTGATAACATTTGGAAAACTTAACGTGTAAATGTTGAAAATTATTAGTAACCGAGTAAAGTTTTTCCTAGTAGGTAGTTGAAAATTTTTTTTGAAAGGAAAAAGACGAACGATCTTTCAGGATAGATTTCGGAGAAGTCGCACAACATCACACTCTTGGTATCTTGTAAAAGTAATATATTCTATAAGCAGGTCGCGTGTACGCTATAAACGTCTGAGAACTCGGGAGATCTCGCATTCTCGAATATTTACGGATGGAAGTAACCGTGACGAGGGTTGACACGTTGTGAAATGTCTTTCTGTGTATTCTGCATCATCGATATTATTGTTACACGCATATCGTATGTGACAGACGAGTAACGGTAGACTAAAGCCTAAAGTAACGCCAAAAGTCGCGGTAACAAAAAAAAATCCAAAAAAAGCTCGTTATACCGTAGCATGCGATAGCAAAAGATATATAACATAAAAAAAATATATATATATTCGTTAGACGTGTTTCATGATATTACATGAAAAAAAAGAGCAAGCACACGATGCAAAAAGTTATCTTTAAATGTAAAGGCTTAAATTCAGGATGCATATTATACACAATGCCCGTTGTAAAAAATAAGTGCATGGAAAAATGTCGAAGGCATGACTCTACTGAGGAAATTAGGAGATACGTATTTAACGGTTACGAGATGGAGATAAAATATAACATGGGTAAACGAGGCAGGACGGGATACGATATCGCGTGATCGGTATATCGGTGCTCCCGGTGTGTCACTTCGTGTTAATAAATTGTACATTATACAACGAAATTTACAGTCCAACGAAGAAGAACCGCCCGATTTGGTTTCCCTGAATGGCTGCAGGGAAACCGACGATACAAGTACGGTCGGGTGTTTTAAAGGGTTCTTCGTTAATCATATACGACGCGGCCACGATTATGGATCTTGTATTTTCGTCGCGAGAACGACGCGACTTTTTACACGAAGTAGTTCTCTGGCGCATACGATTTACCGAAGCTCGCTGATCTCATCGCCGCTAGATGAAACGAAAGAGGACAAAACGTGAGAAAGGGAGAGAACGTTCGAATTTGCCGCAAATCCCGGCGTTTCTCCGTAAATTCTTCGAGATTAATTTCCGTTTTCCATCGATTACAACGCATGCACGAAAGAATGTACAGAGAATGCCGCGAGATTTGACGGGACAGAGAAAGTATCTAAACTTATATCAGAAAAAATAATGCAGAGAGAGAGAGAGAGAGAGAGAGAGAGAGAGAGAGAGAAAGAGAGTGAGTGAGTGAGTGAATAAATGACGAATGAATAATGAGCGAATTTGTGAGCGAATGAGTGAGCGAGTGAGTGCGAGTGAGTAGACTAAAATAAGATAGAGACGAGGCACGAAGCGTTCGCGGGATTTGCGAATTACATGATAAACTTTATGAGGATTCGCCGCGGGAAACTCTAGCTGCGACGATTTATTTGTCTCGCGATCCGGACAGACGGTAAAAGTCTCGTGATCTGCCGACGGGGCCCCGCAAAATAGAACACGTTCGTAGAAGCAATATAGAAAGTAGCGTAGCAATATATTATCCGTATGTGAAACGACGTATACCTATATATATATACGAAGTCTATAATACGTGTGCCACTCTATATATACGTGACGTAATCTCTGTGTTAACTTAACTTGAAGAACAAAAAAAAATGGTCGTGTATTTATTACGTATCGGCGTCTCGTTGCTATATTCGTGTACTACGTATATGAGAGAGAAAAGTATAATACTTGTTGAGATCCTAAGCTACTAGATCCGATATTTGCAGTCCGAGGCAGTGATACAGTTCTCGATATAGCCACAAAAAAATCAAAAATAAAAAGTAAAAAGATGTACGTGATTTAGAACGTAGTGCGTTTCGCTTATTGAAGTCGTTACCATCTCTATAATTGCGAGCACATTGCTTATAACAAGCTTTGTAACGCTGCGAAAGCGTAATATTATATATCTATACAGGGATATAACTTAAAACTTATAGAGTCTCTTCATTAGCGCCGTGTCGGCATGTTTCTTGGTGTCCCGTGCCAAATCTTGTTCGTGTAGTTAAACAAAGATGAATAAGCGGGGCCCGTGAGAGACGCACATCCGAGACGAACGATTGCACGTGACTGTATTACGGTATTAGACTACAGCTTTCCACTGCGGATTCCGGAACACACAAGGTGCGTGAGATTCCGCGCGCCTACTCCCGGTACGAAACGCGAGTCAATTCGATTCGCGAATTCTTTGCCAACGCTCGCCTCGTCGACGTACATATATATTTAAAAATATCTATGAAAATTTATGCGAGAAGAAAGACGCGGTAAAAGTACAGAAGATGAGAAAGACGGAGAAATGTAGAAATAAAATGATGTAAAAAAAAAGGGCGAGACGAAAACATGACGATTTTTCGAGCCGTGCATAAAGATTCAGATTCGTTAAATATTTTCTCCTTGATTCTCGATTAATTTTGCATTGCAATCATTTTTATCCAGATTATCAATATTTCGTCCCGCCATCGTATTTTTGGCGCGACCGTGTTGTTACATTACTATTCCCGCTTTAATAATAATAGTAATAACGATGAGCAATAGTATCCTCTATCATTGCGATTCGATGTTATTACGTGAGCTACTGTACTATATCACACATAACTATATCGCACAATATATTTGATCGATCTTTCCCTTAAATGTAAATATATAGCGAAACTAATTAACGTTGAACGTTGTCGCCGCTGAGATACCTTAAAGGATGTTGTAACGCCGATTTCTTGTAATTTCGGTAGACCCTCATTTTCGATTTACTCTCGCTCGCGATGTCTCTGTATGTATATGTATGTACGTGCGTGAAAAAGAGAGAAAGAGAGAGAGAGAGAGACGCATTCAGTTATCATTATTTAAATATTTAAATTATATTTAAATCATAAATTTTATAGACATATGTACGAGAGAATTATTTGCTCACGAGTAAAAATTACATTATCTAACGAAAATTGTTTAAAAACACCAAAAGTGAAGACGAAATGTGAGTCTCAGATTTTATCGCAAAGTCACTGAAGTCTGCGTTTTTATTTATTTTACTACAGTTTGGGCATATGAAATGTATATTTTATTATGATCGTACGCATTAATCTCTTGCGTTGGAATTCAGTGGATAATTATACAGGTATATCTAAATTACGTGTGTAAATTTTCAATTGATACAGCGAAGATTTGCTCTGATAAACATATGACTATATACATCTCTTCGCGCAGCTTTAGACTTTTACTGCGCCGATAATTCAGTAAATTAAATAGTGATATATGTTCGCGAGTGTTCCTCTGTGTAGGTATATATGATATATAATTCATATCAATTCTTCTGTGAGTGATAAATTTATTTGAAACATAATTCGGTGAACGCAATTTTCGTGCCAACTTAATAATTATTACAATGCAGCGTAATTCAAGTTCATTATTAGTAATACATTAGTAACGATTGTTGCAATGGACCTGGCTAATTCCAACGGAAGAGATTAAATCATTACGAAAAATTTTCTCTTTCAATAACACTCACGAATCCGCCCTTTAAACGGGAGCTTTAAACGGGAAGCAGCATCCTTGAATGCGCGAGTTGTATGTCGAGGACGTAGCGAGCTGTGCATAGGGAGTCGTTTCTTGTCGGAGGAAGTGCGCGACGATTATTACGATTATTTGTGTAAGTCCTCTCATGTAACCTAGCCAGTCCGTATCCCGGCTCGGCCGGTCACCGGTCGAGGCTTCATTGTACGAATTGCAAATGCAATCAACGTGACTGTGTTAATCGAAGCGAGTCGCAAAAGGAGACGCGTGCCGCGCGCACTGCGCTTCCTCGGTCGCGCGACACATGCTCCCATAGGCAGATGCAAAATAACGTGTATATTACGATACCAGTTGCACGCAATTATTACCTTTTGACAAACGTATCGCGCTCAAGATTTCGATATCGCGGAAAGCGCGACGGAATTCGTAGTTATCAATCCCCATACCGAAGAATTTTGCAAAGAATGGGCAGATTAGAGAATATTGCGATAGGACTTTGTTCTTTTTTTTCGTATGGCCATAACTTTCCAATTCTTTCATTCAGGAATGGATACAGAAATTCTTCTAATTCCGCTTGATTTTCCTATTAATTAAATTTAATTATACATTACAAATTTTTGTTTGTTCGACAACGTACGTTACATGCTTAGATATAGTGCTTTACCAGTCTTATTTTACACAGAAGGAATTGGAGAAGTTATATTTGACTATTTGCGAAAAATAAACGATATTAACGATAAAAAATAATTAAATAAAACAAAGATGTAAAAAATTCTATCGATTTAAATTGATTCTAGTTCCGGAAGCGTGGAATTCAATTTTTGAACGCGACAGAATAAATTCCTATCAATTTCTCTCAATCCGCCTATTTTTTTTGCAAGGAATGCATATAACAGTGCACAGATAATGGCGAAAGGATAAAACTTCATAAAAATGAAATGATGCGTTCAAGTTTCATAAATGTGCGTTCGAAAATTGCAAGTATCACCATACGTTATTCGTAATGCCATCGTCCACAACGATGCTTCCGCATTGGGTTTATATTAAGAGAAAGGAATAGAAGAAAAAAAAAAGAAAGCGAATTAGCGGATTATTCGTTGGCGGCTGCTATTGTGAACAGACAATAAGCAATGTGAAAAAAAATGTGCAAAACCTTCCCCCACATTCGATACGAAAGCTCGATCGATCGTTGTCTCGTTATATATAGGAAATGGCAAACGACATTGGCGAATATCGATCGACGATAATGACACGTAGGTAAAATAAAATAAATCAACGAAATAAAAAATGGGTTCGCACCGGTCTGAATCTCGAATATCAACAGCGACGAAAATTTCTCTCTCCGTTAGGAAGGTATTGGACGACGCTTGTCTATGTATTATCGTTATACTATAGTTTTTCGGCAGTAAAGTTTGTCGTAAAAGTCGCAGTCTGTATAAGGTACCTATTTAACGTCGTACCGTTAATTATCGTAGATATCTAACAAGAGCTGGTGTATGGGTCCGATTTTCATGCCTGTGTAATAATCAAGACAAAAGAAAAATAAGAAGAAGGAGAGATTTAACGAGTCATCTTTAGAGCGTATTCCTTTGTTTTTAATATGTTGTTATATCGTGCGGTTTAAAGAATCGCTAGGAAAGAGAATGATATTAGCGTACGGCTGAGAACCTTCCTCGCGAGCGAAGGGAGGTCCGGGAGCGGAGATTGAGACGAAGGAGGGGAAGGAGGACCGCACTTGTTTGTATATTTTTTTACGTGTGTTTACGTGTATTAAACGCCGGCCCGGAGAATCGCCAGATTTCGCTGCGAGATTGTTGTGACTTGAATCGTTGACGCTTGTATGTATACGGGGATACGTGATGCCATTGTGCAAAATTGCAAACGACTTCTCCATGTAAACGCTAAAGAAGGTTGCTGAATAAATATACGGTTACATTCGAGATACATTATATCATTGACGGATTGATCGATACGAATTAATGATGTGGAAATGTCCACGGTAGAGAGCAGTAACGAAACTCGTTGTAAGCTATTTAATGTTTATTCCGACGTATATATGTGTCTAACGTGTTTATGTGTACATGAGAAAATATGCTGTATCGAATAAATGAGCTAAATGACCTCTAATAACTGTTTTCTTTATAACGATTACCAGCTTCAGTTTGGTAAATTTGCGAAATGTGTTCTCGAACTGCACAATTATTGTGGATGAAGGCCGACATACCTATATATAATATACATAATATATTGCATAGAAATTTTCACAATTCCCTACTCTCTCCTTTCTCATATCTCTCGAAACAAAATTTTTAAACGAATAAATTGAATTAACGATAATTATTATATATTATCGTCTCCATAATCAATAGAAAATTGTAAATTTCGCATCTAACTTCTCTCTACAAATAATTGAAGAGAGTAAAAGCTTTCAAAAATTGTTATATAAATATATAAACATATTTTATATCAAATATTTATTTTTATTTTTATTACAAACGTTTTAAATATCTCAAAATAATCAAGTATATGTGTATATATATAGTTGAATATGTGACATCGCGATAAATGGTCAATATTCTGCAGGTATAAGTAAACAAATCGATGAATGACAATCGATAAAAAACAATAACAAATTACTCACTCATGGTTGTTTTACCGACATCGCCAACGTCCGACATGCTCCCCGCGACCCCTCCACCAACATATCTCACATCGCAGCTCCTTTGTTGACTCCTTCGCACTTGCACACAATAATCTGCACCTGCAAACACAAAAATCGCATATTATTTTGTTTATTCTCGATAACGAATCACACGCGACACGTGGCTTTACTGTAACAATTCGAGACATAAAAAAATAAATACAAGCGTGAAAGAACTACGGCTGTATTTACTACCAAGTGTGCGATCACGAATCTACGAATCGCCCGGCGCCAATTACCTCTTCACGGCATTCGCGCGAGAGATTCGCTCGCGAACGCAAGTGTCTTAATGGCGATTACTCTAATACTAATGCTAACCACTGAAACGCGGCACTTGCGGCGATAATCACGCTCGACGATTCGCATTCGATTGATGACTCTATTCCGACGCGACGAGCAACATGCAAGAGAGTATAGCCGCGGTGTAGCGTCGTCAAATTATAAGATGGCGGACGAAATTCGCGCGGCTATCTTCACGCACTTGCGGAGCAGTGGGAGCAGCTGCCGCCGTGGCGACGTGACTGGAGATACGTACACTGCTGCACCCGAGTGCACTTTCGCTCACTTCCGCGCGCTCAAATGATGATACTCTATATATGTATATACCGCGTTGAATGCCATTATTGTATCGCGCTACGAAATAAATAAATATGCAATCTCAAAATTGTAGCCAAACATACGCGAAATCCCGTAAACGCGGCCGTTTTATCCGTGCTCTGATTATATACCGATTGCGTCTCGATCGCGATGATCCGATCATCGCCGCGAGTTATGTTCCAGAAGATTACCGATTATGGATTACAGATCGTCGACTATACATTACACGTGTGATCGACAAGCGTGAAAGAACTACGGCTGTATTTACTACTTAATTGGCGTCGCGACGCCACTCGACGACGCGTCGACCGTGTCTCGCATCCGCGACATTCCGCCAACTGAAAAATTTGAAAATGTGGTAACACTTTAATTAATATTTCACGCGACGCGTCACACGAGTCATATTAGCGGCTAATTGAGACGTACGCGGTCGAGATCCGTTCGAGAATACACGATCGGGTTGGATATTGTACGCGGAATTATACACGTTTCGAACGGACGAATTTTGCGGACGACGAATATCGTTGGCAAATGTCGACGCGACACTCGCCTCGCCGGCATTTCAGTCGCTCCGCGGCGTCTCGCGTATTACCCGCACTCTGTTGGCGAATGAACGCAACCAATTGAGCGAGCTATGACGGAGCAATGCATTCAAACTGGCGGAAAATTCAAAACTCGATGCGAGAAACATATGGAAATGCTTAAGCGTTAAGGAAAATTATTTATTGTAAAATATGTGGTTTGTCAGAAGAATAAAATTTATCTTTGTTACAATTGAAAAGTACGTGTAATTATATGTAGATGTTTTTATAATTTTTATAATTATAACTATAGCATTACAGACGTGCGCTTCGCGCGCGCCATGAAATTATAAAATTTAATTATCTTTGTAATTATAAAATTTATCTTATTACAAAATTGATCTTTGCTGCAATTGAAAATACGTGTAATTATGTATATTTGTTTTTATAAATTCTATAATTATTATAATCAATCACATTGGTCAATTGGTCGAATTGTTTAAACGTGATTTGTTAATAATTAAGCCTTATATATTCATGATGCTAGAAATCGCTCCGAGCAGATCTCGGACGAAAAAAGGAATTAAACAAATCACATTTGAATAATTCAATCAATCGATTGCAATTCTTCTTTTATCGACGATCCTTTTTTTAGATTAATTCTTTCTCCGTTCGAGATCTCGGAGCAATATTTCTAGCATCGTGGACACGTGGTAAACATGCCATTATAACTGAACATGCAATCTATATCTGAACATGTACACAAAATTTATTAATCTCAAATGCTTCTTTCATTATGATATCAAAATTTAATTGTAAAAATATTTAAAGATTACAATTAAATTATAATATGAAAAAAAGCATTTAAAAATAAATTTTTGTATACTTGTTCAGATACATAATGTTCCTAATTATGTCCATTTCTACCAATGTAGATAATTAACTTTAATCACGGTTTTACTTACTTTTTATCTTTTTCTAATTCTTAAAAGTAGAAAAAGATACAAAGTAAGTTAAACCTGGATTAAAGTTAATCTATGGTAGAAATAGACATTACATGCACTGTGAGCATAATTAAACTTTACAAAAAAAAACCGACGTGTGATCGGTAAAGAAGGCGCGCGAGCGCATTGGCCGTCGGCGGCTACACGGGGCACGACTGCCAGCGCGGCCATGAGAATCGCCCGAAATCGCGGGAAACGCGTCCTGCTTCAGGAGGTACGCGCGAGGTCCGCCCGCGATTCGTTGTAATCACAACAATTGTGACGGTCGAGAGGGCGAGGATCGGGACCGTCGCGTGGAGGTCCACGCGGTGGAGAGGCCGACGTTCGTTCCCGCGGATGAGCTAGACCTCGTGCTGCACACACCGAGAAGGTAGTAGCCCTCGTCACGAGGCCCGCCGCCCGCCGCCGTCGCCGCCGCCGTGGTGGCCGCAGCGGTAGCGAGAATTGTTTTCGACGCGTGAGAGCCCTCGCCGCTGGCGTCCGGTGGCTCCCGCGGACGGCCACGCGTGTTCGAGGAGCCGATGCACTTACGCGACTCGCGACGCCCAGGGCGACGCGAGGGTCCGAGAATGCCGTGCTGAACGCGGAGTCATGAGTACCGTCGGCGCGGAGTCCAGCAAGGCGTCCGTGCCGGATCGCGCCGGATCCCAAGCCCCGGAAATCGACGACAGAGTCGGGGCTTCGACGAGCGAGGAGGGCACGTGCGACGACCGGGAGACCCCGCAGGACGCGTACAACGGCTGCGCGCCCAGCAGGAGCCGGTACGGCAGGACAATAAAGCCCAGGTTTACCGTGAACATGGCCGAGGACTCGCCACAGGTGAAGAGATGTCCGCTGTACACTTTTGACGATGCTTCTCTCCGCACGACGACAAAGCGTCCATTTAATGTTACCGTGTCTAACGACTCTCTTACACACGTCATTTGTGAAATCTTGAATAGATATTTTAATATTTATGTACTAACAATGTACTTTTCGAAAAGTTTTTTTTTTAATTTTTATAATAGATATTACAAGCAAGCCACAATTCCTTCATGCCCTAAGATCTGTCGATTTTTTTTTTAATAATCTGAAACTTGTTATTCATCGATATTTATATAATATTCGTTGTTGCAATTTTGCAGAATTGGAGGCCAAAGACACATAGGCAATTGTTGAAAGAATTTGACAGCAGTGTGGACGAAAGTATAGAGGAAATTAATGTAGCCAATAATATAGACGAAGTCAGCGATTCATCCGCCACATTGACTAGCACTGAGGAGTTTCCATCCTCGAGAGCAATCAGTCCTACTGTCGAATGTCAATGGAAGGTGGGACAGTTGGCGTGGGCGAGAGTCGGCAGTTTCCCATTCTGGCCTTGTATGGTAACAGTCGATCCTACTTCGAGGATATATTATAAATTGAGAGGTAAATTGTCTAAAGCTCTCTCATGTATATTTCACTTATCGAAATTACATTTGTATTCATAAAGAGTTGACTTGGAAATGTAAATAAATACGATGATTTGAAATTATATTTCTATTGAACACAGCATAATCATTATATAATTCTATATTTATATGTAAATACTTATTTAAAAGTTTATTTGACAGGTGTCAATGAAGTTTTGATTATTTTATTCTTCGCAGTTACAAGTAAGTCAATTGTTATGATGATACATGTTCATTACTTCGGGGACAAAGGACGCCGCAGCTGGGTTTCAGGGAACTGTTTGATGGAATTCACGGGTCTTGATGATTTTCTGAAATTGTCGGACTCGCTGACAGCAGACGCAAAGAAGAAGGATCCCAAGTATGCCGCCGCTTTTATCGTAAAACCAGGAACAAGAAAAAAGTGGCAAAATGCCGTTGATGAAATTACGGAAGTGCAGTCGCTGACGACGGATGACAGAGTCGCGATTTTTGCGCCAAAAGTTAAAACCTCGAAATCCAGAGACTCCAAGTCACTTACTGCCAATGAAAAGAATCAGAACAAGAGGAAACGTTCGAGGCTGAGCGTGGAAGTTGAGCAAGATGAGCCTGACTCCAAACATGCTAAACAGGATGATGTAATATTAATAATTATTTACATTTGATTTTAATTTCATGCTTTTGCATGTAATGTAAAATCTTATCTTTACTTTTACAGGTACATAATACAGAAAAACCGGAAATAACAACAAAGCCACGTAAATCGGAATTAACAAAGAAAAATTCGCGGGTTGCGAACGGTAAAATTTATTCGAAACCGAATTCAGATTCTTCACCTTCATCTCCTTCAAGTCACAAAAGTTCACCCGAAAGCACAAACGCAAGAAACCTAAAAAATGAGGAAGATGAAGAAGAAAATTTTAATCTTTATTACGACGAAAATAAAAAATTGTTGGAGATTGAGTATCCAAATTATTCAAAAGATGACATTAAGATATTTTTGCGAAAAAGTTGGGACACAATGGATGCGGACTACCGAGAGAAGTACGCATTGTACATGAACAAAAATTCGCACAATAACTCGCGAAAATCGGACAGTTCAAAGGATAACTCTCGAAAACTCGAAAGTTCGAAGGATAACTCTCGGAAATTTGACAGCTCTCGGAAGTTCGAAAATTCGAAAGACAATTCCCGGAAGTTTGAAAATTCGAAAGATAACTCTCGAAAATTGGAAAATTCGAAAGATAACTCTCTGGATGAAGACGAGATGTCAATGGAGATTGACACGTCTTTGAAGGAAAAAGACGAAAAGGAGGAAAGTAAAAAGACGAAAAGTAAAACTGACAGGGAAGAAAACTCTGTCTCGGAAACGAAACGAAGTAGGCTGCACAATCTCTTCAAAGGTATGAAGCAAGAAAAAGTTTGTCAGATTTGCGAAAAGACAGGCAAGCTAACAAGATGTAAAGGGCCTTGTTATTCTTACTTTCATTTATCATGCGTGAAACCTGGCGAATCTAGTCCAGAATATTCCGTTGACGAGAACACATTGGATGACAGATTACTCAATGAAGATGTAAACATAATTAAAAGAAGTTTCAAGTGTGACAGTGAGAATAATGGTAACTATGAAAATAATTATAAATACAAATATGTATGTATTGGATTGATAAAAAAAAATTGTTCCTTTTTAATATACAATTTTTGGACCAAGAGAAGCCAAACGAATTTTTTTTAATCAAAATTTAATATATGATTATAATATACGTATAATATATATGATTATATAGCATAATATTAATTGAATTTAGCTAAATCCGATGAGCAAGAGGACGAGACATTCAAGTGTATCGATTGCTTATCTGGAGTAGCACCCGCTTGTTTCCTATGCAACGAGAGGGAAGGGGATAGAATAAGATGTATCGTCCCGGCTTGTGGGAAACATTATCATTCCGACTGTTTGATTTCGTGGCCGCAGGTAAAATTTTGCATTTGCAGCGCAATTATTAATCTAAAAAAAATATATTAATATGTCACTCTTCTATCATTGATATTTCAAACATTGCATTTCAGTCGCATTGGCAAGGTGGACGTTTGACATGTCCGTACCACGTATGCCATACCTGCAGCTCCGACAATCCTCAAGACAAGCGTTCGCGCGCCCCGAACGAGAAAATGGCAAGGTGCGTCCGTTGCCCCTCTTCTTATCACGCGTCAACATTGTGTCTGCCCGCTGGTTCGGTAATTTTAACGGCCAGTCAAATTATATGCCCAAAGCATTACAAAGCACCGCACCCTCCATTAAATGCGGCGTGGTGTTTCCTATGTACACGTGGCGGAAGTCTCATTTGTTGTGACACGTGCCCAACTTCCTTTCACCTGGAGTGTCTAGGTAATTCGATCAAGACCGTTACAGTTAATATAAAGTGCAATATTTGTAAATAAATTATCCTCAAATTCTTGGTAACTCAGGTATAAATGCGCCCGATGGTGGATTTATATGCGAAGATTGCGAAACGGGAAGATTACCATTGTACGGGGAAGTTGTATGGGTGAAACTCGGCCATTATCGATGGTGGCCATCTCGTATATGTTATCCACATGAAATTCCCGAAAATGTAGAGGCTCTACCTCACAGTCCTGGTAAATTTTGCGTGATGTTTCTGGGGTCTAATGATTATTATTGGGTACATAGGTAAGTAGTGTTTTTTTTTTTTGTATGAAATATTGTGATTAGTAAATTGATATCCATCTTTTTTTTTTATTCTAATACTTTACAGAGGTCGAGCCTTTTTGTATCAAGATGGTGATGCAAATATAAAACCACCTGTAGGTAAAAAGACTCTGATGGACGATACATATCGAATAGCTCTTCAGGAAGCCAATAAAATACATCAGCAATTAAAAGCGAGGCGTTCCATGACTAAAGAACCGAAAGGACTGAAACCACCGCCATATGTCAAATTAAAAGTAGGTTTATAATCCGTATTAAGCTGATGCTAGATCAAGCTAACAAGGACGAACGAGCGTAATGAGCTTCCTTTCGAAGTCGAAGTGCACGTTAAATGAGCAAACGAAATGAACAAACACGACAAACAGCTTAAGCGTGAACAATTTACTTCAATGCCGCTGTATTGGCAAATCATTCATTGAAGTAAGTTGTTCATTCGTATTTGTTTGCGCTTGCCTCCTTGATCTGGATCCGCGTTTCATTGACATACATTTGAGCTCGCTTCGTATTCACGGCATTAGTCCGCACTCGTTTGATCAAACTCGCTTACAGATTGTTTGTTCGCGCTCATTCGCACTCGTTCGCTTGATCTAAATTCGGCACTATGTAGAGCCCTTCTTTTTTAACAATCTATCATTGTAGTCAACACTGCTGTGTCGTCATTGCGATCAGAGACATAAACACAAGTCATACGTGATTTATTGTTCGTAATTTATCGTAATTTGATGAATGACTGCGGTGAGGAGTTGAAAAGCCTTAAAATAGACATGTGACAGGTCAATAAACCGGTGGGTAACGTCAGGCCAGCCGAAGTCGAGAGCATCGTGGCATGCGAATGCGATCCCGAGTGGGATAATCCCTGCGCACCCGGCACGGATTGTCTGAATCGTATACTAATGGTCGAATGCAGTCCCGGGATCTGTCCAGCTGGGGACAAGTGCATGAATCAGTCGTTCGTGCTGCGACAGTACCCGGCAATGGAGCCGTTTCACACCGTGGGCCGCGGATGGGGCCTGAGGGCCTTGGAGGACATTCAAGCGGGACTGTTTGTCATCGAGTATGTGGGGGAGATTATAGACGATGCCGAATACAAGCGTAGATTACATCGGAAGAAGGAATTGAAAAATGAGAATTTCTACTTCCTAACGATAGACAACAACAGAACGATTGACGCGGAGCCGAAGGGAAATCTGAGTCGGTTTATGAGTGAGTACGCATTATTGATACTCATATCTCGTGTGATCTCGATAAGGATAATTGTGATTGTATTGTCGTTTGCAGATCATTCTTGCGCGCCAAACTGCGAAACGCAAAAGTGGACGGTAAACGGTGACACGCGCATCGGTCTGTTCGCCTTGCGTGACATAGAATCCGGGGAAGAGCTGACATTTAATTACAATTTGGCATCCGATGGAGAAACGCGGAAAGCATGTCTGTGCGGTGCGTCGAATTGTAGTGGTTTTATCGGACTTAAAGCGCAGAAGCAACCGGTGTCAGCGCAGCTGATACCGGTGGTACAACCGATTGTACAATTAAAGAAAATAGAGCCGAAGCCGAAACGGATCGTCAGACGGTACGCTTACATAATTGTGTATTTTGTTACTCGATACACTTGTCGTCTCATCGTGATTTTTATGCGACCAGTGTATTAACGAATTTCGTTGTTTTTACTTCAGATGGAGGAAGTACATGTGTTGGCGATGCGGCCAAGAGATACCGGATCTCGACAAATTTGTAGTTTGTTCACAAAGGACATGTAACAAAAAGTATCACAAAACGTGCGTGGTAATCGACGAACTAACGGAATCGAAATTCTGTTGTCCGTGGCATTTTTGCTCGGAATGCGGACGTCGGACATCAGCACACTGTTCATTTTGTAGCACTGCCTTTTGCCAAGGTAATCTACGAAATTGAAAATCTATAAAAGGGAAAATAAGAGAATTTTAATTTTAAACTTAATTAGAATGCAAGATGGAGATGTTGAAAATGAGGGAGGAATGCGAAAAACGACGATCTTCGATATTTTCACTGAAGAAAAGTCACTTTTAAATCGAGAAAAAGTTGTTAAAATAACATTTTATATACATTTGTAATAGTGTAAATTATAAAAATTGATATATTAACATGTGACCTTGTTTCTTGTGTTTTTAGTTCATCTCGATGGTAACTTATTCGATCGGGAGAGCGATAAGGGTGGCTTCGTGTGCAAGTTGCACGAAAACGCTGACGCACAGAAGCCTGTTGAAGACGAGAAGGAATATTCGGATAATGATAACGAGACAGATAAAGAATATTCTTCGACAAGCTCCACTAGTCCGGTTGTAATGGAAAAAGTTGCGACGCGAGAACCATCACCAAGGGTTTCTATCGTAGAGGTGAGATGAAACCTTACTCTCTGTCATTAATAAATATATCACTTGCGATGTTCGCAAAATCTTTGCATATTGATAGAAATTCACACAGAGATATGTATATTTGCAATGCATTTTAGTATCCTTTACCTACATATTTTTACATTATTTGCGCACGATTAAATCGGCTGTATGATTACTTTGGTGGTGGTAGAATTTGATAAGAAAAGAACATTTTTTATATTTGAAAAACAATTTCAAATTAGTGATTATAATGAAAAATATTTTGATAGAGGCTAGAGGAGAATGTAAATAAACAAGTAAATGCATCTTTAATTTACCAAAGAAGCCATACTCTTGTTTATTTTATTGTAAAAATTTTATGCTGATTTTACACTAAAGGCCTGTTCTTTGTAGCTGAACTGGCTGATGTTACTTCACAGTTTATCTTTCTCTTTCTACATTGGAAGAAGAAAGATAAACTCTGGACTAGTGCAATCAGTTCAGCTATAAAGAACGTGCCGTAAATCGATAGATATAAAAGTGTGAATCCAAATATTTTGATGTGTAAAGGATGCATAATCAAGAGAGAGTACGTAATCAAGGTATTCTTTTTATACGACCTCCTTAAATGTACTATATATCAGTTTTATTTGTGAATTTATATTGCAATTATTCTATATGTAAGGAAAGCAACGATTATTGTTGTAATGTTGTAACATAATGAAAATTATGTTGTAATATTGGAAGGTAGCATATATGTTCCGAAAAAACAAGAAGAAAATGAAATCTTTTTTTTTATAATTATTTTTCATTACTCCCAATATCCTTGGTACCTTACTCCTTTAAAATTGGCAGTAGTAGACTCTAACGCAAAAAATAATTATTTAAGCTTGTGTTTACGAGTGAGAGTGTATTTTTATTTTTGATACTGTAGACATGGATTTCTTATTAATAATATTAATTATAAGTACATGTTTTATTAACCGTTTTTAATTAATATGATGTAAATTTATTATTATTCATTTAAGTTCAAAATGACATGGTGAGTAGTTGCATTTCAATTTTACAAGAAATATTTCGAAGATTACGCAAATTTTTAATATATCTGTCTTTATTACTACCACTCTACTATTTAATTGCTATAAATTAATTGAATATTTACAATTGTAATTTTTTTTAATATATAGTATTTTTATCATACTTTTTTTATTCCTATTAATGTTTTTCAGAAAGAGGGAGAATGGTAGTCTTTTTTTATTTGTCGTATCAAGACATAAATACAACTCAAATTTAATGATTTCAATAGCTCCTATAAATTGCTATAAATTAATGATTTCAAATTTGAGTTGTATTTATTATTTCTTTTTAATTTAAAAATTAAAGGATTGTCTAAAATTAAAATATATGTATATATAGTATATAATATATATATATTTATATATATATATATATAATTTTTTTATATATATTATTAATCCTTCAATATGCATTTTAAAATACATATTGTCATTCGCATAACTATTTTATAAAATAGTACTCTTTATAGAGATCGTCTTAAGCAACAATGTTGCCTCACAGGTTCAGCTAAGCAGTGAAGAGAGTGAAGAATCTCAGAAGGAAGAGGAAGAGAACAATCTTGAGACTAATTTTACGTCGTGTGATAAAAGTTCAAGGACAATGACAAAAAAGACACTTCATAAATCACAGAAGAAAGAAAATCAAGCGAAGGAGTTAAGTAATCTTACATCTAGTCAACTGGAAGCCATAATTGGCGTTAGCCTCTGTGAATGAATTTCTGTCATTCAGTGAGAAATTTCCAGTTATATACATAGTAAAGCATATTAATATTCCTTTGCATCTTATTTAATTGTACATCATTCAATACATTTATATAATATATAGGAAATTAAAATTTTTAATTTATATAAATATACTTGATTTTTTTTAAATATATTATACTTACATATACTCTCGAAAACAATTTAAAAAAAAATGGATATTAGTCTACGTAATTATGTTGCCAATATTCGTCATCGTAAAATTATACGTGATAATTAGTGCCTTGACAAAAAACAAATTCTTAGTTTGATCATGGTTATCATAAGGCTCTCATAGAATTGATAATTTAACTTCATGACAAAATGGAATTTAGGTATAGTTAATAGTTCACTAAAATATCTTGTAAATTAAGTTGTGTATTTTAATTTATTCAGTGTGCAGAAACGCAAGTAGATAATAATAATCATATCACAATCATGAAGATTCATAATCGTTTAAGAAATTGTACGCATATAATATGTCTTCAACTACTTATCTTGAAAAACCCCGAAATAACTTCAAAAAGATAAAAAGTGCACATTGACTGCCAAGTTTAGTTGGTGTTGCATATGAATTCCTAATATTATACTACATCACTTCCCCATATATTAAACAGAATAAAATGTACATAAAATATTATATGGTGCATTGTCTAACGTAATTCTCAGAATAAAAATAAATTATCCTGCCTAACTATATTTTCTGTGTCGTATAATCATTGCATTACTATTAAAAATAGTCGATCTACCAAATCATTAAAAACTGTATAATTATTGTTATTAATTTAATGATAAATATAAGGTCCATATGTACATATAAAGATTATTCTAGACTTCCATATAAGAATAATCACATTATTTATTTGTAATAAGGAAATCAAAAAAATTGTTGCACTTTTATTAATTAAAAAATAACAACCTATTTCTATGTAAAATGTGTATAGTTATAAGCTTACTTTTTTTTAAAGTTACTACATACTATTAACGCATTAATATACAGTTATAATATTAAAATATGTTAAGTGTATATATACTTAATAAACATTTCGTGTTTTTGTACTGCCAGATTTGAAATGATAAGATCTACCTGTTAATCTTCTTTACAAATGAGATTCTTTAAGTAGTAATTACTTATTATAAGCCTCTAATAAGGCTTTCTATATAATTCTTAATATTTAATTATTATGTAAGTAAACGAAAATTATGTTAAATTAATTACATTAAATGTATCTCATTTTTATATTTATCACAAGTTAAGCATTATGCGGTAATGAAAAATTTATAAATACAATTATAAATATAAGTAGACAGAGTGATGTTAAAGCAAGTATTTTGCAGGTTTTTTTCTTATAAGTTATAATTGCGCTAATTTAACGTGATGTAAAATGTTTCAAGAATATACATTATTTGTGCTGTAGTTTCCCTAAATTGCATCAGCGTTCGTTAATATCAATAATTACAATACATTTCTAAATGGGGTAGCTTCTTAAACAAGTTACGAAGCACTCTGCATTCTTACACATATATCGAATATACAAATACAAATACGGATTTATTAAACTCTTTGTTCGCCGCCGTAGTTTTGGTAAAGCTTTGGACTTTCTTGTACAGAGGAAGTGGTACTTGTCGGACTTGGTAAATTAATTTCTGAATTCGAAGCGGTCGAAATAGTTTCTTCTACGGATATCTGAGTCTTTCGCAATACTGGTGCCACGAAATTTTGACCCGTTGAGAGGTCCCTTTTTGGTACTGGAGTCTAATGAAAACGATTAAGAATTAATTATTCTAAAGTCCGTACGCTTCTAGAAGAAGGAGAAACCCTGCTGGAATTTTTATCGTTCTTGGCTTTATAAAAAAAAAAACCCATTATCTTCGCCGAATGATTTTAGCATTCGATTACTTTTACAACACGGAATATATATTATTAAAAAAATGAGAATTCAGGAAAGCTGTAGTACAGATTAGTCAATACAATTTATCTAGTACTAGACTTTGTGCAAAATCTTCAACAGTGGCCTGTCATTAAGCTGAGACTACGATACCTTGGGTTTCGATGGCAATGTAGCGCCGGTCACCAAGCCCAGGATACTCGCGCAGAGACCAGTGAGCTGCACCGCGGCTAATGGAGATAGACCAATTCTTACCAGACCTAAGGCTAAGAGAGCAGCTTGCGCTAAAACTGGCGCAGCTCCTGCAGCACCAACTGCCGCTCCGGCCAATTGACCACCGCCAATACTCGGTCCGTAAGCGAAGCACAAGTTATGCCTGTCCACCTAATCAAGGTAACACACATTTTCATTAAAAGACGTATATTGCCATCGACGTAATTGCAAGCTACTGCGAAAGTTACCGTACCAGATGCTTGACCACAAGATACAGTAGACCGAAGGGCGTGATCAAGGGACACGCCAGACTGTAGACGGTTGTCATAGTAAAAACTAGCAACAACCACGCGTAATGAGCTCCCAGTGGGAACTCCCACAGCACCGCTTTCCTCACGTGTATCCTTTCCGCCCGACTGCGAGCTATGCAGAGTCTGAAAGTGTACAGCGCGAGTTCCGGGAATCTGACCAATTCTAATCCGCTCCCGAGCAAGGCCGCGGTTATGACGTAATTTACAAAAAGGGCGCCCTGCAAATTTTACATTATCCTATAACGAATCTGTGCGGATATTGGAATAATAAGACGAGAGCGTGTATTTTTATTAAATTAATCTGGAATAAATGCGATATTTTTTTTACCGCTAGAAAACTCACCTGATCTGGCAAAAATACACACTCCCATTTCGCCGTGTTGTTTCGGTCATTCACGGTCCAATCTAGGAATGCTGCTGCACTGGTCAATCCCAGACTGGGTAATATAAGCACCATCAGCAGCAACAGAAGTAACGTTTTTCTCATAACAACGCGATTTAAGCTGCTCCTTGTCCAGTGTCTCACAAGCGATTCGCATCTGCCGACCAGGGCAGGCATCAGAGCAGCCACGCTGACTAACAATACGGTAGGCAGGAAAGATGAAACTACTGAACTAAGGTTCTTAATCTCTCCAGTGAGTGGTAATTTGTTGACAGCTGTCACTATGACCTGAAATTTTAAAAATAAATAAATTATATACATTTTTACACAATAGGTATATATATTTTTTTTTTCTAAATTTTCAAATAAATATCTAAACAAGACGAAAAGAGAATCAATAGAGGATTAAAACGTTATCTATTATATCAATATGCCATAAGTGTCAGTTTCTTTGCTATATACGTGTTTAAGAGTGCGTCTTTCTCTCTATTTATATAGTTTTCATTGTAATGTGCTCTTGCTGAAAGAAATTGACTTACAGCCGGTGTAGTAAGGAAAAACAATATAAGTCCCAAAGCGCAATTTATTAATACAGCATTTAGATACCAACACGGCCTGGGGACGCTTAGATTTTCCCAAAATATATCTGACGGCATCGGTGCATAATCCACGGTCCACTTTACACTCGGCGAGGACCTCAGCTGTTTGCGCATAGTTTTAGCTGCACCGGGTGTCCCTAATTAATTATCCATTGTGAATTTTCTCGTTAAATTTAAACGTAGGAGAGAAGGAAACGTCAGGGTGACATTATGTGACATTATTACCTAGAGTTACAAAGGCAACCCCGAGAGATTTACTGAGCGCCACGTTCTTTTCCTCCTCAACTAGTGCTGTGAGTCGTATTTCCTCGTTGGTATAGAATTCTTGAGCATCCACTTGCTGCAAATGCAATGACTCGAATTGAAAAATTATAACTTGCGCGCATAAAGTATACAAAAAAAAAAAATTTGATTTTTGTTCACATTATTTACATTTCATTTTGTTGATACGTTTATTACCTTATTGCAACAATGGCCAAGAACTTGACCGCACGGATAAGGATACATTTTCAAAGGTTCCCTCTTCTTGGCATAACTCTCGCAGTATAAACGCGCCTGTTCCGCACAATCTCTTTCTACGTCCAGCTTCGAAAGATGTTTTATATCGTGAGCCAGTGTAATATCCTCCACTGTTACAGCGGGAAACGCTTCTCTGTGAAAAGATTGTTAACATAAAAAAAAAAATACATGCAAGATCAAAAGACAGATCGACGAAAACTTTTATATAAATTTCTTTTACTATCAGCAAACAAATATCATTTGCCGAGGGAGAGTTCGCGATCGGAGAACGTTCTTTCCTACATACCTAAAATATTCGCTAAGTTTCTCAACGGTACATTGATGTTTTGGTATATCTGTAATCAATAATGTTCTTGCTACAAATTCTCCCGTAGGCCTAGTATCTCGCACCTGTACACACAAAGTCCCCACTTGTAATATTATACATTAAGGTGATAAAACATTAATATCTTTGTGTACGAAAAAAAAAAATGAAAATAAAGTATCCATTATCATATATGCAAGAGATTAATTCAGCTATTTTACCTGCTTCAAACGATGTCTCATAACAAATCCACCGACCGGCAGATAAGATAAGAGTAGTACTGTGTACACCCAAAGCCCATAGGACGTGGGCTCCAGATTCGATAACGTCGTGTGGCTGAATGTCGCGCTGTCACCCGGTTGCATGCTCCCGTGAAAATTTATTGGCAGGGCTATGCACAGCGATACAACAAGCATCATGACGGTCAATATGATTAAGCAACGTTCGAACATAATGTATAACAAACTATCAGGCCCTGCACGTTGTAATAATTCATCGTCCCTGCAATTGCAAGATTATGCGTGTGAGAAAATGTGTACATTGCATATTGGACTGTGGAGGCGAAACACAAATAATAGATAATAGCTCCAGGCACAGAAACTACTAACGTAATCTTAAAAGCGGTAACGATCCACGAGAAGAATCCTCTGTCCAACTGAGAGAGCTGAGAATTGACGGAGGCTTCGAGGCACAAGGGATCGGTGTCTCTGTCCTCGTTAACACCGTAGAACAGCTCCATCCATCTGTTATCGGATTTGTGTAACAGTGCGAGACGTCCATAGTTCCACGCCTTCTTACGTAGCAGGCCAAATAGGGTGACTAAAAGCTGTCAGGGGCAATAACGCGTCACATATTGGTCATTGGAGTCATTTAACTTGACGTACGCAATAGCTTGCATTGCTGTCTTATCTTCCTTACGATATGTATACAATAACAGAAGGTGAAAAGAATTAGACTAAAGTACTTACCAAAAATCCTATTACATTTAACAACAGGTTCTCGGGTATTCCTGCGTACACATCTGTGATTATCGTTCTGTTGTTTTTGGGGAATGGAATGCATGTGTCTGGGGAAGGGCCGTCGCTCAGAGCTGCAATGCTGCAACACGTGTATATAATTTGACACGAGGTCTTACAATGTACAGACAAAGGTGCGATAATTTGCGACAATGACACGCTACCGCGACGTACTCGAGAATGGTGCGTTCGCACAAATCGCGCGCTTATGACAAGTGACAATGTACATAATAATATATGTACAGTGCGAGCACGTTATACGTTAAGATCTATCGAAGGGATTTTACAATCGCGAGAAAAAAAGATAAACAAAAAAAGGTACGCAACGTACCTCTCCATAATTCTCTTTTACTCGCGGGTGCGGCCAAGTGCCTGGTGCATCGTTACATTTCACGCTGCGCTCTCGTCGGCCGAAAAACAAGTCGCGGACTTGTGCAAACAATGCGAAAAGATAAACGCGATAAGCGCGCGAGCGGGCCGACTCCGATCGTGCGTGATCGCGAACAAGGAGAAGGAAAAGAACAAAAAAAAGGGGGGAAACGCGCAATTATCACGGCGGCCGCGCGCCACTCTCTCTCGCCACTCACTTTTCGTAGGTGTAATCCATGGTCGTCGGCCGGGACGCGTGAATCAGTGCGCCGTTAAACGGATGCGAAGGTGCATGTTAGCAAACGCGTGCCAATTTGACACATCGCACGCCGTGTCTGCTGCTTCAGTCACACACGAAAGTGTTCCGCGTAACGTAACCCAACCTCGCCGTTCCTCCTCGGCGCACACATGTATGTATATGTATATACGTATTGTACGTATAGTAGTGGTGAAACGTCATTTCGACTGGCCACGCACACAAAGCACACGCGCCCACGTCCCCACGTGTGCGTTCACGTCAGGAAATATACAGAGAGAGAGGTCTAATTGAGTCGACATATAACTTATCGCTTTATCGAATAATTTTTACCTCTTTAAATGTAAAAAAAATGGCAGAGTTGAGTACTTGTGAGTTGATAAGATAAAACGGAATATTATGTGTGTATTCTAGCTCGGGTGAATTAAGTACGTATATATACTTTTCATTGTTTACATTTACAGCTGCAGTTATAATAATTAAATAAGATTTATTAGGGAGATGATAGATATAAATGAAGTTTAGAGCATTACTGCATTTACGGATTTATATTTTTCTTACTAATTATGTTTCTTATATTCGTATATAAAGTACGATTGTAATGTACATATACATGTATAACGTATAATTTGTGATGACACAATATTAAATATTATAACACAATAAGTAAATATTATGTATTCAGAAAAAATATTTAATATTGTAGCTTACTCTGATTAGTAATTAATGTGAAATATCGCTTTATACACAATTGTTTTGTAAATTAAATTAAATATTCTTCACACATAGCTACAAATAAACTATAACAATGTGATAACTCGATTTGTTTTGTCAATGATATACATGAATAATACTAAGCATTATAAAAGTATACAAATATTTTTTACATGATCTCTATAAACTGTTTGACAAAAATATATTATTTTGTAAACAAATATCTTTTTCGTACTATAATAATCATATAAATCTTAAAATTATATAATATATATATATTTAGACAAATATCTTTCCGCCCGTCTACTTCAATTCCGTTGATAAAACTTTGTCAGCTGTAATTCGCCTGTTGTAATAGAATCTACAACCCAGGTTTCCTTTAGGCCATTTGCGCCAATAATAATTTTAGCGAGCTTAATATTCTCGGTAATGTGTCCGCCTGCCGTCTTTATAAGTTCCTTAAGCGTGTCGCACGGCATTGTGGTTTTGTGCTCAATGTGTATGAATCCACACGCGCTGAACAATTCTGGGGTGTACGAGAGTCCAAATAACTGCCGGTCCTTCCGATTTTCCTGTCGAAACACAAGAAAATGTTGCATGACACGCGAGTGCACAGATTTAACATCGCATTCTTTTATCCCTGTACGCAAAGTGTATAACTCTCTAAATTTTTTGGAGTGACGTTTCACTCAAGTGGCAGAGTGGCAGTATTTTCAATCTTTTGGAGTGAGATTTACTCCAGAAAATTTAGAGAGAAAGCTATAATTTCACGTGAAATAACACAAAAAAATTACTTCGATTTGAAAACGAGGATCATAAAAATGTTTTAAGTTAATAAAGATTATTATTACCGTCCTTTTGGTAGACCAGTCGTTACGATGACATTCATCATCATCGCATATAATATACGTTTAGTCTTACCTGCACAGCTTTAGAGAAATGCTTCATCTCGAACGTCTCTGGATTTAACCACGCGTTGTTTTCCAAGGACTTCAGAACCCACTCCAAAGTAACCAGCCAACAGCCCCTTATTATGCCACGGAGAAGATTCACCGTACGCACGCCCGTACTCACAACGTGAGTCGTCCGTCTTGACACGTTCATCTCCACCTCGGCCGCGCCAAGAGATTTGACGATACTGTTCACCAAACTTTTGTCCCTGTAAAATGTATAATTAGCTATTATAATTTCACGTGAAATAATATAAAAAAATTACTTCAATTCGAAAACGAGGATTATATAAATGCTTTGAGATAAGTTACGATTATTATGATTTCACGTGAAATAACATAAAAAATTACTTCAATTCGAAAACGAGGATTATAAAAATACTTTGAGATAAGGTGCGATTATTAAGATTTCACGTGAAGTAACATAAAAAATTACTTCGATTCGAAAACGAGGATTATAAAAATGCTTTGAGATAATTTACGATTATTATGATTTCACGTGAAATAACATAAAAAAATTACTTCGATTCGAAAACGAGGATTATAAAAATACTTTGAGATAAGGTGCGATTATTATTTCACGTGAAGTAACATAAAAAAATTACTTCGATTCGAAAACGAGGATTATAAAAATACTTTGAGATAAGGTGCGATTATTAAGATTTCACGTGAAGTAACATAAAAAAATTACTTCGATTTAAAAACGAGAATTATAAAAATGCTTTGAGATTAGTTACGATTATTATAATTTCATGTGAAATAACATAAAAAAATTATTTCGATTCGAAAACGAGGATTATAAAAATGCTTTGAGATAAGTTGCGATTATTAAGATTTCACGTGAAGTAACATAAAAAAATTACTTCGATTCGAAAACGAGAATTATAAAAATGCTTTGAGATTAGTTACGATTATTATAATTTCAAGTGAAATAATATAAAAAAATGATTTCGATTCGAAAACGAGGATTATAAAAATGCTTTGAGAGATAAGTTGCGATTATTATTTACCCTTTTGATAGACCGGTCGTTACGATGACGATCTTTTGAGACTTGTGCTTGTTCCGTTGCGTCGACAATATTGTGCGACACTTTACAAAATCGTCTAAGGAATCTCTGTCTTCCGTTAAATGATCTCTTTTATCCTGTCTATTCTCTTGTAATAAATTCAACACATTTTCATCGGCAAACTTCTTCACGAGGATCTTCTTGCTAATAACTTTTTTCGGCCTTCGCGTTTTCTTGACCTCTTGTTTCCTATTTTCAAGCATATCGCAATCACTGTCCGACAACGTTGGCTTGCTCGCGGTATCGTGTTTGATATCATTTGTATTACGCTTGGAATTCTTGACTGTCTTCCTTTTCGGAGGCCTTTTCTTCGGCCTTTCGTTTTGTTTTGCAGACGTCGGTTCCTCGGGCGTACATCTCCTCTCCTCCACCGGGGTAAGCGAGCACAATTGCGAAGTTTCGTGAAGTGGCAATAATCTTCTTCTGCCTTTTCTCACTGGAGCGCACTCCGTGTTTTGTACATCCGTATTCTTTTCGTCCGTTTCGCACCTCGTTCCATCGGGCGTACCCTTTATGACCGTCAATTGATTTTGAGTAACAAAAGGATTAGAGTTGGGCGTATCTTCCACAGTAACTGTGCTAGCTTCCATTGTTTTTTGTGTCTCGGTCGACGACGTATGCCGTTCATTTAAAATTTTCGAGTGCCTAATAACATAAAAAAATAACACACAATAGTAAATTATACTTATTAAGTTACTTATCGTGTAAGTTAACTTACAACAGCATTAATTTCTCGATTAAAACTATACAAGTAATATGTAATATTATATAGTAATAAATGGTTCAAAGTATATAATAATATATACTTACGAAGCAGCTGATTTAGTTTTATCATTGCTCTCCTCATTGCCCATCGAATTTAAGCCGCTGCTGCAGGTTGCTGCGTCATCCAAATGCTTCGTTTTATGTTTTAATTGCGATCTGAACAGAACCAAGCGGCTTATCGGATAGGGCGTTCCCTCGACGTAACTGTAGCTATCTCCGCTGTTACTCGAGCGTCTTTTGTCCTCATCCCTCATTTTAGAGAATCTTGATTTATCATTATGAGAAACCGGATTTCTCACAGAAATATTTCTTAATCTCTCAATCAAACTAATGTTTTCTAAAGAGTCTAGGTCTTCATTCCTCGTTTCTTTATTTCCTGTTGTTGATGAATCTTTCATACTCGAACGACTTCGTTCTTTATCGTCCTCATCGCTTCTTCCTCGCCACGTTTCGCGCATTGAATCTACCGACGTGTTCATTTGCAACGAAGTTCGAGCGGTATTCGTACTTTCGCGTTGATCGTTCAAATCGATTGATTTTTTCCCATTAATCGCCGTTGCGAAATCTTGATTGGCATCGTTCGCTCGATAATCGCTTGGTTTCCGAACGTTCCCCGCTCTGCTGGTTTCAATCAGTTCGTCCAACGAGGTATTTACTTTTAAAGATGATCGCATCGTGTTATCGCTATCAGATAGAGCTATCGTACAGGATTTTTTATTTTGGCCTTTAATTCTACCGTCGCGCACCTGCGGTATCTCATTCGAGATAGCTCCGCTCACAGGATATTCAATGTTTTCTTGTCTCGGCGAGACTGCGTCTTTGTTTCGCTCCATACTTCCTTCCTCGTGCGATTCCCCTTCCGTGCTGTTACTCGCGTCTGACATTCTACTTCGTACAGACACGTGTCTCTCACGAACACCGCCCTGGACCTCCGTCATCTCCATAGATATCACTCTGGTCGTCGTATGCGTGGCACGAGATGCGCTCGCGTCATTGCAGTCGGTTCCTCTCTCACCCGTCGTTGCGTTATCGTCAATGAAGGTGGAGCAAACGACGGGCATTCCTATGCTCGTGGTCCGAACGGAGTGCACGGTCGAGCACGCGTTGTCAAGGTACTGATTCTGCGAACGCAACCTGCCTCGTCCTCCAAACAAGCTGAGTCTTCTGTTACTGCCGCTCAATATAGGACTGCTGGTTTCGTCCGCTTGTTTCGGAGGCGGAGAGTTTCTCCTCAGAGCAACATCCTCGATAATTCTGCATCTCGTTTGTCCATCCTGCACCTGCTTGTCCCGCTCAACGAACACAAGTCGTCTCTGAGTCAATCTAGACTTATCCACGGTTCTCTCCAGGCTTCCCCGTCTGTCGTTGCTCATCGGTGTGGCGACGATATTGGAATCTGCGCCGCGGCGATCGCTCGCAGCTCCTGCAGCGCAGGGCTGTTCCCCTCCTTCTGCCGGGCGATCAGTCGCGTCCAGCACGACCGTTTCGCTTTCCGTTCTCCTTGGATTACGCGTACCACTCGCGAGACGCTTTTCCTTACTTCCCCGCAACACCTTCAAGGTCTTCACGGAGAGCTCGTTCTCCCCGTCAAATATCTGCTTAGTCTTGGACAGGATCGCGTCCTTCAAACGCTCGCAACTCGTCACGAGGTGACGCTCCTTGGTGCTGATGTCCTCCAGATTTATCGTGAGGCGTTTCAACTGCACTCCCTCCTTGACCTTTGATCCTTGAGCGGACGTCCCACTGTCGTTGCTCGCAGCACGCTTATTATCCGTATTGCTTGCTCCGGCTCGCGTATGATCCCTGTGACCGGGATCAGATCGGCGACTGATCCTCTCGTCCGCGGTATTTCCTCTGCCTCTCGACGATCTTCCGACAGCTTGCGCCGCGTTCGCAGCTCCCTCGTCGTTCTCGATCTCCGTTCTCCAGAGAGATCCGTTCCCGGAATCCGTCTGATTATCGCTGCGACTCAAGTTGACCCTCAGAGAACTGCGTCGATGTTTGAAACTGTCCTCCTCATCGGACGTGTCCGACTCGAATATCTTCCTTTTATTGGGGCTCATCGTTCACCTGCGTATCGCCCTACGTAAATTGCAGTAACATTGTTATATCTATGCTCACCTTAATTTATATTTTATTTATATTTATATTTTATTTATTTTTATATTTATATTTAGTAACATGATTATTATACGTACTTGTGTTACGTTAAGAACGATGCGGTGTATGTCGAAAGGTGGATTACGCTACCCGAACGTTCCAAGAAGTATCTTCACATGATATTATCGTCGAGTTTTCTTTCACGAACGTCAAACGCTATCACGCGCAAACCTGCGATAAGTCATTATTATTGAAAATACTGATCTTTACTCAGGAGTAACTTTACTCCGTGTTTTGTATTCGTAGGATCGCGGCCATGTTGATTGTTGACGTCGCGACTGTAAACATAAAAACATAGACTGTCTTAGCTCCGAATGTGTGTGCTTCAAGGCACACGTGCGCTTATTAGAAAGAGAAAAGTAGCTGTGACGGGAATTTCTTTTCTCCCTCCCGAAGCGACTTTCAATTATCGAGCTCCGATTAATCAATTGATAATAAATTAACAAGTTAATCGGCAATTTTTTAATACAGACCAAATCGATCGAACACTGGCCGGGGAGATTAAAAATCTCGGATCGGTCGATAAGACGGACCTTCTGCAAGAAACGTGTATCTACACTTCGTTACGATCCACGACCGGTGGCGGCGACATGTGCGGGGAATCAGTACGCGCCGATTCCGCCGCGCGCGCCGCGAGCGTTTTGAAACGTCAGTCATGCGAGAGCAGGCAGGCTGGAGCAGGCTGGAGCAAGTTGCGTCAGGCACGATCGGCGTTCGCGACATCGCGGAGCAGGCTGGCAGGCACTGACAGGCACTGACGTGCGAGCCGCGGAAGAGAGAGAGAGAGAGAGTGCGACGAACATGAGCAGAACGCAGGTACACGCCGTCCATACGTTAGCCCTTTTCCCTCGCGGAACCGCGACCACGCGCGTAATAATAAACGCAATCCGCCGGTTTTATCGTTTCCCAAATATTAAAGAGCCGTACGTGTATATTTCAGAAAAAGAAAAAGATTTAGCCGCGTTTGTCAAATCGCTGCGCGAAAACAGCTGATAACGAAGGAGAGACCGCCGCCGTCGAAAATATATAAATAATACAAGGCTGTGCGTGTAACGTGGCGAAAAAATTGAGAAGAAAATTCTAACGTGTCGCTTCCTCTGCTTTCATTGCGCAGGAAAAATCAGTCGAGGAGGACGAAATTAATCTCTTCAATCCCACTATATTGGACAGATTGCCGATATCGCCCGTTGCTGGATTACTCATCAGACCGCTGAAAAGTACGGATTATGATAAAGGTAAGCGGTGTCATATGTCACTGAGAGAGAGTAAAAATAATTTATTGCGATCTTTTTTTTTTTAATTAAATATCACTTGTTGGAAATTCTTCCAAATACATGCACATGATATTCAGCTCCTCCTAGCGAATTCAATTCTTTATGAAATCTTGCAGGCTTCTTAGTCCTCCTGTCGCAATTGACAGACGTTGGAAATGTCACCAAGGAGCAATTCTTAAGTAAGTTACCACGATCGGGGATTAGCTTCCGCAAATGACGAAGCTAAATTGATTATCCTCTGTCCTGTGTTCAGACAGATTCTACAGCATGAAAAGCGCCGGTGGCTACTACGTTGTCGTCATCGAGGATGTAATTTCTGGAAAAGTGATAGCCTGCGCGACGCTAGTCCTGGAACAGAAATTTATCCACAATTGCAGCTTGGTACGTAATTCTTCTGCTGTGCTTTTTTTTTTTCAAGAAGCGAAAACACGGCATACCTCATCAGATGCCTCATATCCTTTACAGCGAGGGCGCATGGAGGACGTGGTGGTCAACAAAAATTACAGGGGCAAATCGTTGGGGAAATTAGTGATAACGATCGTAGTGCAGTTGGCGCGCTACTTTCATTGTTACAAACTATCCTTGGACTGCGCGGATCGTCTGGTGCCGTTCTACGAGAACATAGGCTTCAAGCGGGAAACTAACAATGCCAATTATCTCAATATGCGCTTCCACGGTGACAACGCCACCGAGCAGTCGCGTTTATAGTAACCGGTTTTATTACTATGGCAAACGAGTACTTATTCATGGTACTGCATACATACAAAACTTGCAAAAACAACTGGAAATATAACGTTACTTCCCTTAGTTATATTTAAACTTTAAAGGACATTTGAATTGGAAATTCAAGGACGTGAATGTTAAATTTTATCTCTTCTCTCTATGCAGAAAATCTCATTGCTAAAATAATTTAAGAAATGCTTTTTTTCGTTTGTAAGAGAAAAAAATTTATTGTACTAACACTTGAACTAAAATGAATTATTTTATATTCTTTTTTTGTTTACATATTAACATAAGCGTTACATAACTAATGTATTTACGTGCACACGCAGGTGCGTGTTTTTAATTTTGAAAAATGGGTCCTACAATATGCATATAAAATACACTATATCGCATTACATTATAGACTGTATAGGTTATAAAAAAAAATTAATTGTTAAATAAAATAATTAACTTTTACTTAACATATACATATATGTATATTTTTCCATGCATATAATGTTAATAAATAATGTTGTAGAAAACGTTTTCTGGTTGAACTTCTTTCTTACATTAGATAAGATTTACAGAAAATACTTTCATCAATATTACTTGTAATATTTAATTTGCTTAATGTACAATATAATGATTAACATACGGCGCGTTTACTTGATTCACTTTAAATCTTCTTCGCAGCTGGATTGGCTCGCAATTTCACCGCTCGTTTCGCCTCCATCTGCCTCTGCCTGGCCAATTTGCGCTCTTCCCTCTTCCTCCTCGCTTCTTCGTATTTATTGTTTCCACTAGGAACGCCTGGCACAGAAAAATAAATTTTTCTCAACAATAACAATAATAAAACGAAATTTGTGTGTTATGCTTAGAAATCAAGTCAGGTATATACTTGGTTGCTCTATGGGCTGAACATCTTCGAGAGACTGAAACTCCGAATCTTCCCATCCTACTTCGGAAGAATCATTTTTGTCTTGAACACCTTGGGTTGTTTCTTCTTCCTGTAATACACAAATGTTCTTGCTGATAACGATTATCAAAATGACTATCTAAACAGTCAAATTATTCTCGTTATCTATTCATTAGTGTAACCATATGTACACATATATAGAACGTTTTAAAATTCGCAATAATATTGAACTAATCCAGGGCCAATTTTTTTACAAAAAATAATTTGGGCAACGTCATTTTCACTATTGTGCGATATTTAATATTAATTATCTAAACTTTATATAATTAAATTATATAAAGTTATATTTTTCGTCTTTATTTCCTTTAATCAATTAATTTAATTCCTATTAATACAGTGAAATAGTTTTGTAGATTAAAAGAGTTTTAGATTAATCAAAGGATTCTGCTGTGGACTTATGGACTTGGTCGTATTAACACATCAGGTTAAATAGGATATCCAAGAAGAACCTTGACTTTGCACAAAATTAAAATTCGTAATAATATTGAACTAAACCAAAGCCAATTTTTTTTGACAAGAAAATAGTTTGGGCAACGTCATTTTCACTATTGTGCGATATTTAATATTAATTATCTGAACTTTATATAATAAAATTATATAGTTATATTTTTGGCATTCCTCTTTATTTCATTTAATCTCAATTAATTTAATTACTATTAATAGATTTGAAATATTTTTGTAGAATAAAAGAGTTTTATATTAACCGAAGGATTCTGCTGTGGACTTAGAATTGATCGTATTAAAATATCCAAGAGGAGCCTTGACTTCGCACAAAAATGTCATAAAATGCCAAGTGACAAACCGGTTCTTCCTCAAGGCTGGTCCACTGTTCATTAGCCTTAGGGGAATGGCCGGACTGTGATATACTACTGGCTGGATTCAATGGCACCGATGGCGTAGCAGTGGACTGCTGCTCCATATCCCCCCAATTATCGGCGTCCCAACAATCCCAATCGCAGTCGGAATTTGTATTTTGAGTGTTTTGCGTATCGTGCTCGTGATCGGGATCGAGGGAAGTCATGCTTGTCGCGCTGCTCGTCGTGGCAGTAGTGCTAGCGCTGCTCTGGGAGCTGCTGGCTTGTTCTAAAGTAATTAAAAGAAACGTGATAATATGTGTGTATAAAATAATATATGTACACTATTAAGTGTAAAAACAAATGGTACTAGACAGAGCGAAAAAGTGCTCCATGAGCATGAAAGTAAAGAGGATTAATGAACTAACCTAAGGAAGCAGGTTTGTTTAACAAGATCCTAGATGTGCTATGAGCATTTGACGATTTTGGCGTGTCTGACTGGCTGCGGTAGAATTTCGCCGTGACTGCCGTAACGGCCCATCCGGCCCACGTCGCCGCAGCATTGCTGAGACTGGGTGTCGCAGTATTCACATCCGCCTCTGCAGACATTTTAGTAACATCAAGAGTTCAGTGTTTCCTTTTCTAAGAACAGCCGTGTGTGAAACTCTAGTGCTATATGCAAACGCTCACCCATTGACTCGCGAAGACCAGGATCTTCAGAGACCGTCTCGAGTTTCGATAGAAAACCACGGATGATCCGGAATGCATTGTCTCGTACACCTTTGTCCACGTCCGTGGTAAGCGGACACAGAGCCGGTAGAATGCGATTTGCGACCTCCTGCAGCAGGAAATATTGCTGCGTCGCGGCCAGAGCCAGTATACTCGCAATTCTGGCGGGGGGAAACGAATCGCGAGTTCCACGGATAAATGCGCCAATCAATACCTAAAAATTACGTTTATTAAATTGATTTAATAATATTTCACAAATATATCACAATTATATTATTTTATTAGTCATGAATTGTTTCATTGTTCCTTATTGAATATTGAACTAAAATAGTATGTTTAAAATATACATAAAGAGTCTATCTCGATCAATAAGAAGGATCTAAAAAAAGAAATATGGGAGAAGCAGATATCTATTTAAAAAATAAGAATGTTGTGTTAATTAAGAAAAAAAAGACGTTACCTTCTGCCTTATCTGGGGATGAAGATGTTGAGCAATTTTTCCAAGGCAAACTGTGGTATTTGTGCGAATACCGCCTTGTTCGTCTTTAGACTGAAGTTTCGCGAAGTATCTTAAAGTCTCGACATTAAGATTATTATAATCTAACTTTGGTGCTAAATGTACGACTGATCTTATCGTTTCTTCCCTGATTGCCGGGTTTGTGTCGAGGAAGCCCCTTGCTACCTGTGCAAAAAATATATATATTTAACGTATGTAAAATAATTTGGGCTCATTCTGAAAGAATAGACAAGAATGTATCGCACAAGACATTTAAATTTCTCAGATTCAACATCTATCTATATCACTATCTTTATTTAAGGGGGGCGTCTGGTTTAGGACGCTGAAAAATAGGTGATTTTCGCGAATTTTTTTTTAACAAAGAAAAGTAAAGTCGATCTTTTCATAACTGTACGAATACTTTACTGGGTACTTATATTATAAACAAAAAAAATTTTTAATTTAAAAAATTTATAGTAATAACGTCATGGCAAATAAGTGATTAAAACGCCTCGCCACTGGAGTACAAATTGGCAGGCAAAATAGAAAAAAAACTATTTGACGTATCGACTTCAATCAAAGTTCTTTATTTAAATTATTGTCAATCATCCTAAATAAACTAAAAACATGTTTAAAAAAGTTAATTTAAACAATTTTTATTGCACAAAGAAAGTAAAAATATTTTTTTCAAAAGTGTCACTTTTTCAGATCGGAAGAGCACACGT